ATCCGGCGCAGGCACTCTCCTCGGCCATAAACAAGACATGAAGAAGTTGGCAGTAAGAGCATAGGCCACACAAAGACTGCAGATCTTCTAGCACGCGACCAGTCTCGTGTTTCATAGGAAGGTAAGACACTAAAACCACAAGTGAATAAGGTGCCGCTCTAAGTGTGGACAAGCGACTGTGACGTTTGTCCAGTCTCAGAGGGCGCCTCATCGCAGTCTGATTGGGAAGTGTTGAGCAGCCGGGCTTAGGGCTCGGAGGCAGCGGACCCTATCCCTGCCGGAGGGCTCTGATAAGCTCGCTGCAAACCAGTGTTCTCGAGTGGATGCAGCCACAAACGAGCATGGAGGTGAAGCCCCTTGAATCACAATGTCACTTCGTGCGGTGCCTTGGACGTTCAAGTCCAAGAGCCATCAGTGGAATGCTATGCCAATATGTATGTGTTTGCAAAAATATGGCAACATGGAACACCTCATCAAGACCCATGATGGCAACGAGATCCGTAGAGAGGCCCAGCGTGTGGCATCTTGGGATAACTTCCTACGTCTGGTAGCCCAGTTGTGCCAGTTGTCACCAGCTCACAACTCGCTACACGAGAAGATGCAGGATCCCCCGGCGCAGTGCATTTCAAGTTTCGCGGAACTCCTGCAATCGTGTACAAACTTCTACATCACTTCGGGCAGGTCTGGTGTGTCGGCGTGGCACCTGGAATGAGGCATATGGCAGAAGCCGCACTTGGAGGCGGAGGTGCAGCTGCCAGAACCTTGGGCAGGCTGGCAGATTTCACATCAATGGCTGTTAGGCTCGTATCTTGTTCTAGTCTGTTCTACTCAGATTCTACTCTTTCATATGCTTTTGGCAGGCTGGCCGGGTTCCCTTGCCACCTGTCAACGACACGGTAAGAGAACACCGAGAACACGCCTCCGAGCGCATGGACAAAAGACCCAACCTTGAAGCTTCAAGGAACCGTGGGGGTTCAACCAAGCCGTAGATAAATAAGTAAGTCTAAGTACCCATGATCGGTACTATGCTAAGCAAAGCTTGCATCCGAACCCATGAAAACACAAGACCTGCCCGACGACTTGAAGGCCACAAGTGTCTCAGACTCTCCCCCGGAAAGCCGTCAGCATAAAACTTCCCTACTTCTGCAGCTGCAGGTGCGAAAGTAAATGCACGGTCGTGCGCATAGCTCCGGGTGTCCAAGGCTTCCTGGCAAGCGTCGCCGCAGCTTTCCGTACCACAGATCTTGCAGAGGCAGGTCAGCATGTGTGTGTGTGTGTCTCGTAAACGCACAAGTACTAAATAAACATGTAAACACATGGGCAACCAAGTCCACAAAACCATTTACATGTATGGAGGCATCGCGCGCATACATGTTTGTAGGTGTGAGCGAATCTGTGCAACTGACAGTGTGCACGAAGTATGCGTAGAAGTAGGCACAGTTGCCAAATGATAAACACATGGTAGTCAGTTGTGTTTCTGAACTACTGGGTACCTACATTCATGCATTTGTACATGCGTACATGGCCACATACATACATACCTACGTTTGCGTTCCATTCTATTCTCTTCTATTTTATCGCACAGCAACAAAGCCGGCACTGGGTGCTGGCTGCGAGCCGAAGTGTACCCAGGGAAGAATGCTGCACGCAATATGCTTGCCATAGCGACATCCTGCTTGTAGACGGGTGTGCATCATTGCTAACTTACCCACGGAACAACTAATCTTGAGGGATGTTAAGACACTGCTACGAGTTTTTCCCGAACACACTCTTAAAACATTGTCCTATTTTCGGATCCGTGTCCTGATAGTGGGAACCCAATACAAGCTCCAAGGCCTGCAAGACCAAGCAAACAGAACTGCCAGAACTCAAAGTCTGCCATGTTTACACATGCTATCATACAGAAAACGCATAAAACCAGACCAAAACAATATGGACTCCCGTACCTTGCATTTTTCAAGACCTAACTTGATTGCGGGGCAGGAGAGGGGCTGGCGCGGGGTCATTGCGGTGGCCAGGACGTCGTGCCTGGATTGACCTTTGCCCCAGCTGGCATCTGCACTGCCTCCAGATTTAGATATCTCGTTGGAGTGGCAGGGGGGAGCTGAACCACAGGTATTGTCTTACGCAAAGACACACGTCGCAGCAGCCAAGGATGTGTTGAGACTATTGACTGAAGTCCAACTTCCGACCACCATGCTATGAAGACGCCGAGGCCTCTGTGCCGCTGCTCATCACGGACCCTGGCGGCTGCACATCGCCGCGGCTTCGCACCTGGCAACCCCAAGGTCCGCTCCTAACTGATGTTGGCGCTCCAGTTGCCTAAAAAGCGGGTTACTGTTCATGTACATATTAATTATATGTGTATGTATGTATGTATGTATGTATGTATGTATGTATGTATGTATGTATGTGTATTTCTTATAAAGTCTTTAAACCGATGCCTTCGCCCGAAGGAGCTGGTCCGCAACGATCTCATTCGTGACCTCGGATGAAGCTGTATAGCTAGTTGCATTGAAGACGGCTCTTAGACTCAACTCTGTGAAAATGTTGAGATACTCGTCCTGTTCTGCTTCACTTCAGTGCAACTCCATCCTGCTTCATCAAAGCTGCAACGTGGTGGTCTTTGATTACTTTCTGTTGCCCGCAACCAACACTTAACAGACTTAACCTTACTGTACGTGCACCCAGGCCGACAATCTTGGTAAATCATTGCAGATCGCAGAGCACCCTCAACCGATACTGCCCCGTCCCTTTTGAAGCCTCAAGTCTTCCAAGCGACACTGTCTGGCTTGAAGTCTTTGTCCTATGGCGCAGAAATCTCCGGCTCAAGAAAGCCCTCTCTAAGAAACGGGTCGCTTCCGTCCTTGATGACAGCCACTGCGTTCTCCATGGCACTCGACTGCACCGAGGGAAAGCTATCCGCAAGGGGCTTCCTCGGCAAGCTTCTGTACTGTCAGGACTTTGTACACCATTTTTACCTCATTACTACTTTCAATGTCAGTCACGGTTTTATTGCTACTGCTCGTCTTGCTGCTCTCCTTAGTTCATCGGTAGTCGTTCATGGATCAATCCGTTCGTGCCCACCTCGCAGCTGAATGGTCCAAGCGACTCCCCGAAGCCCGTGTCCCCAACACACGGGTGCCCTAAACCCTGAAACCTTGGAGCCCTGTAAAGCCCTGAAAACCGCGAGCACGTACGTCGCCTCACATCATCTCAAGCCTCGCTGCGATTTCCCAACCTCCCAGTCCGCTCTTCTTCAACTGGCCTAAGTCATCCTACATCTGAGCTTTGGATTAGGGTAGTATAGGGTGCTCACATGATTTTCGAACGGTTTGAGAGGACTTGTTGTAGGCTTGACCAGGAGTCTTTCCCTGACAGCTAACTTGAGGAGCATCTTGTAATAGATCGGTTCCGGGCTAAGGGTTGAGGATTGGGATCACCATTGCTTGCGCAACGGCCAGCCAGCTAAGCTTCTGTATCAGCAGGTCCTCTTCAACCGCATTGCCTCAGCAACTTGCATGGTCACACTAGGAACCGCCCATGAGTCTGCAATGTGGGCACAGTCTGAACATGACTCTTTTCCTCGAGAGGTTCACGAGTTGACGTGGTTCCTTCAGGGACCTGCAGCTTCAGATTGTGCCAACGACCCACAGGTGCAGCATGAAACGTTGAGGTGGTGGTGCTTTTTGTATAAATGCCTAGACGCCGACGTCCTGTACCTATACGCAACACATCAGACCATTCCTTCCTAGTTGTTGGACAATGCGTACTTTACATTCGAGACCATGTGTTGCTGACACTCTTGCGCACCCTTTCCATCACAAGTACCCTACTGTAAGCCTCAAGCCCTTGATGTCGAAACTTGAACTCCAACCTTCCTCTAAGTCGAAATTCGCCGCTTCATGCGCCACCCGGTCTACATGCTGGGGTGCCTGACCAAACATGCTCTTGGAATCTCTTCCGAAAGGGAGCTGCACGTTGCAAACACCCTACTGAAACAAGGCAGCCAGTTCGAGCTTGGGCACGGATTTCGCAGACCTTCCTCCACCTCGTGTCCACCTCCGGCTTTCCAGCAATAACACTTTTTCGGGAACCCAGGGGATCCAGAGGTCACATGAGGTGACTACAGTGATTTGCGTGCTGGGATAAGGCGTAGAGTATCCGAAGGTTCCACGATCTCGAGCCAGCAAGGCTTTGGCAGGTGGACAATGGATGCAAGCCACTGTTACGTCTGGAATTTGTTCAGCAAAGCGAAAGCATAAGTATTGCATTGACCCTCTGCCTCTGCCCTTACGGATAGATCGATGCTGACTGGTGACTCCTCCCTGCGGTACGTCACATCTGGCTAGCTTTTCACAGGTATGATGCTGCACTGTCCGTGTCGGCCACGAGATGTGGACACATACCGAAGCTAAGTGCACTGCTCAACCTAAATACTGACCTCCTCATTGCTATACTGCTAGTTCTACTTGTTGCTCTTGCCAGATACCGTAAGAGGCCTGCAATGTCAGCTTGATACTCGTGCCCTCTTCAGCAGAGCAGCTCCTCATTTCGTCGAGATGCATCTTTTTTTTGGACATATGAAACACAACGGGAACGGAGTGATTGGATTGGACGGTATTAAGATTCAGATTCAGGAGCCAGCGTATCTAAGCTTTACAAAGCTTCATCCACGAGAAATTGCGGAACATCAGGCAAGGAAAATACGGGCCCACGCAGGGCAGCGAAGCAAGGCTTGCAAGCAAATGGCTGCGGCACGTATTTGCGAGGCTGGTGCGTAGGGCAAGCATTTTGCTTGGGCCGGCCTTGTTCTCATCGCCATCTTGGTTCTCAACCAAGTTGGCGAGAACCTTGGACATTTACCAGCAACTAACACTCGGACCCCATACCCAAAAATGCGGGTCCAAAGCAACAGCAAGCTCTAGTGGCTGCTGAACACTCTAGCTCTTGTTGACGGAATTCCCGAAGAATGCACAGCAAATGAGAATGCAAGCGGCGATGTCCAGCTGCTGGGAGGCGTGGGCACGGCATTCCTTGCCCCACCAAAAGAGACATTAAACACATTTGGCAGTGAAGCTCGCTAGCGTGGAGTCTCTACATGCTGCAACTCGACAGCTTTATTTCAATTATTCAGTTGTGACTCAAGTGCTTTGCCATGACTAAGGCGGGGCATGTAGCTCTGGTCCAAACATCTTTCTAACTGGCATCATGGCGTTGAAAGCCGTGGGCAGGTTCGATAGAAAGTCTGGTCACTGATCAACACTTCCGAACCACCGAGTTACATGACTAGCAAGCAGAATGCAAGACATCTCTCTCGACACAACATGCATGAATCACGAACACCAGAGGCGTCTTGCAAGGTTCAAGCATTGCTTCGCCGTTGTCTTCGTGGCAACTTCAGGCCCCATGGCAGGCTCGACATCATGCGAAACCATAACAGATCAAGCTAATTAGAGTCAAAGGCCTCGACCTCATCCGAGCATGCATCCCTGAAGGAACCCCCAACCCTAAACCCCTAAACTCTGACCCCTACACCGCCTTAAAACCCAAAGACCTGGCTCTTCCATTCGTACCCAAGAGTCCGAAGACCCCTTCAGGGCCTGAAAAACCCTTTCGAAACCCCCCCCCCCCCCACCCCCAAACACTAAAACCCCAAAATTCAAAAAACTTCATAAGCCCCAGGATAGATGAAAACACCAAAGCCCCATAACATTTCATAAGCCCCATGATAGATGGAAAGCCCCAAAGCACCATAAAATGTCATAAGCCCCATAATAGATGCCGGTCAGGGAGCCTGGGTGGCTGCCTCAACGGCTGCCCCGGCGATTTGGGCGACTTCCGAAGACATGACCTGCATCCTCGAGGGGAGTAGCACTGCGGCCTTCATAGAAAGAAGAGAGTTTTGGGGCAGGATCTAGTCAAAGTATAACAGATAAGGAACCCAAGGGGAATTATGTAAATTAGGTAGTTATTCAGGCCGCCACAATGCTAGGGTTTAGGGTTTAGGGCACAAGGCTAAAGGCTTCATGTTTCAGGAGTTAATGCAGGTGGTATAAGAGTTGCAATGATCATAATGTTTAGGGTTTTAACAGTGCTGAAGGCTTACGTCTTACGGTTTCTTCTAAAGAGCTGCAGAATTTTGGAAGATCTACAATGAGGTTTGGGCTTGTTTGGGGCTTAATTAACATTTGCAGTACGCTTAACTAGCGGCTTGCTGTATGTAGAGCTGTACGTGTTGGGGACGCCTGCTACGGTGACCGTAGCAGTAACACTTGATACGAAGCTGAGGGGTGTGGGTCTCGGAAGCTGAGATTGTCCTGGCTCCGAACATGGCGTTCGGCCGCTTCGTCGAGTGTGTGTGTGTGTGAGAGAGAGAGTCGGACGGAGGGAGAGAGAGAGAGAGAGAGAGAGAGAGTGTCCGGGCTGCTTGTACCAGGGATGCCTGCTGCAACACCTCGCCTTGTCTGTCCGGAAATGTCCTCGACTAGGTCGGACTACGTAGTTACAAGTTGAAGTCACAAGGTTCTCCGGCGTTGTCTACCGAAAGTTATCAAGAAACCAGCAAATCCTGTCCCCAAAACTGCTTCACATGATCCAACCAAGTTGCTGTTCGGCAAGCTCCTCGTCATTCTCGTTGGTCTCCTGATGGAGCTTTGGATGTCTATGCTTATCTCATCTCTGAACTCGGTGCGCTGTGATAGGAACCTCTACTTCGGCTCTCCTGACTGCAACTTTCCGGAGCTTGTGGCACCCTCTCCCATCTCGAACGACTCAGTCATTCCGATGCCAGGAGCTCATGCCTCAAGAACTTCGCCTGTTGGAGCGGCCCAGCCGCAAGTACGCAATCCCCGCCTTTCCTTCGGCCATCTCTCACATGCCGCTACCTGCGGTCGTAAAAACCGTAACCTGAAAGGGTTCTGGCTGGAAGGCCGGTCCTGGATCGCGCTCAGCTGCAGGATCATGCCGCCCACCTGGCAAGTGGTTCTAAAAAAGAGCTACAGCGCTTAGTTCAGTTCAACCCTGCAGTTGAGGGGAAAGGATGAGCAAGACGAATCCTGGATTGATGGAGAGAACATCCGGCTTGAAGGCAACGCAATGACAGCTCGACAGGCGAGATCGTTTCGGCAGCATCAGCAACAGCACGTCCTTTGGGAAGGGGGCAGCCCGGTCAAACCACTTGCGGAGGCTGTCGTCCAATGACGACTGCGCTGGCAGGAGAAAGGCAAATGGAATAGTGAAGGGGACCATGCACCCGAGTGTTTCTAGGACACCCGTTCCACGAATTTCGCGAAAACCTGTATTGGCAAGCACCCGACCGTCCTACGAGGATGCTTGGAACCGACAAAACTAGCTCATATCCCAGCGTGGCAATGCACTTCGACTGAACCTGTACATGGACAGCAGACACTGGAGAAGCAAACAGGATAAACCGGGTAGGCCCTGAAACCCACAGGCCTCTCGCTTATCCGACTTGAGAAAATTACTACTGTCACAAGGCGCCCCCCCTCCCCCCCCGGTAGTTTTGCTAAGGTATACTGCAATGATCTCAAGACTCATCCTGCCTTTTTTCGGCCCCTGCTCCGCAAAATCCTTCTTCTGCCATGGGGGCTTCGAACACACGTTGTGGCTGTGCACCTGTTCCTCCTACCCATAAGCTCTTTTTCTCCATAGCAGTTCCTTTTTGGCATTACCTTCTAGGATCCGAAGCACAAACCACGAGAAGGAACTACCATGGAGCCTATATGGGTAGATCCCACGCAGAAGCGCCCAAGACCGGAAGGGCCCAAGAAAAAAAACAACAAAAAACGAAAAGCTAAGAAGCGAAGACAACCCTGGATCTCCTGAGCCAGTCGTATTTCTGTTACCTAGTAGGCTCCATCCATAGTTCCCTTCTTAAGTGGGTTTTTAGTTAGGATCCTCCAAGGTAACCCCAAAAAGGAACTACAATGGAGCCGATGGGTGAGGTCTTGCACTTAATCACCCCTCTCCATCACCCCAAAACCCACACTAAACCCGAAAAGAACCCTAAAGCCCCAAGCCCGAAAACTCGAATTCACCCCTGAACCCTCATGAACCCTAGACCCCAATAAACCCCGAACCCCAAAGCCTAAATCCCTTGGTCCCCGCCTTCTTTTTGACCTCTGCCTTGGCTTTCTCCACGCGAGACTCGAGAAGATTCACCACCATCGTGGGGATGACCTGCGTCGACTCTTTGTGTCGGTGACCGCCATGCTCAGCCCAGCTGCTGCGTTTGTTGCGAAGTTGGGATCTTTCGCACAACAGCGAGCAACCGAAGTCATTGAGTCTTTACGGGTTTCGGGGTCAGGCGCTAAAACCTACATTACTCCACAGCCAATGCCATGAAATGCAACACATTTGTCAAGGCGGGGAAGGGGCTGCGGATCGAGAGAGTGATCAGTTGCAAGTTCGAGGGTAAGAAAGTTTAGTGTTTAGGGCTGCAGTCACGACGGACCAAGCAAGGATCGACAGCATCTGACAAAACCACGAAAGGGAACAAAACATGCTGCGAACAGTGATGGTATGATGATGATGATGATGAAGAACACCGCCTGTTTCAAAGGAGGGCGATCGACACGGTGATGTCTGAGACGATTGCCTGTTCTTTCCAGGATGATTACTCCGGCCGGCCGTATTGCCTACGACAGACGCTGCTGCTAGGAGGTTTCGTTCGTATACTGAGCCTCGACAGAACCATATAGTTTTGCTTGGTTTCTTTCGTTTGATTTAGAGAGTCCCTCGCCAACAGAAGCCCTCGCCAAAAGAACCCGCGAATTATGCGAAGGCGGCACGCGTGCCTCAAGATGCCTGACCACCTTGGTGCTACCCGTGACCTTTTCATCCTTAGTCAGTCGGCATAGGATGACAGGTACAAGTCAACATGCGCAGGCAGGAATCACCTAATCAATGCATTCTGGCACGATACCCTTCACTCGATAAGGCCTCGCTCGCTGCGCGCCCAGATGTTGCAGGAGGCAATCAACACCAACACACACACACACACGCACACACGATTTCGATGTTGCGCTCGTGAAATAATCAATTCAATGTAGAGGTTGCATGTTCGCACCCATCCTTACACACTGTTTGGGCATGGGTTTACTCGTCGCCCGTGGTGCCCCATAGCATGCAAAGCACGTAGCAGATGTAGCATAGCTTCCAACCACACGGCCGCTCCGACTTCTAGAAGCACTTCTGTCCAGATCGCACCGCAGATATGCCATATGCTAAGAGGTACTACCCAGACATACCCCGTGGCTCCACCGATAAGCACCAAGAAAGCCTACTACGCACATTCGCACAAGCCCAAACCCTAAACCCCAAAACGAGCATGTTCCGACTCAACCCTAAACCCTAAACCCTAAAACCTTAAACCCTAAACCGGCCATGTGTCTGATTCGTCACGGATTACCTCCCTGACCTCGTTGATCTCCTTGGTTGGAGGTGTCAAACGTACGGCTTCTATGGTTTAGGGTTTAGGGTAGTTTAGGGTTTAGGGTTTAGTGCAGTGATAAGCAAATTTAGTGAATTCAGGGGATGTTGGGATATTTAGGGTATTTAGGCTTGCCTGGGTTGTACTTTTGGGATAACCGTCATTGAACAAAAGCAACATGGCTACATGCGGAACTTGAAAGGACAACTGCGATAATATTGAAAGTAGCCCTGGACCCAATGCTCCAAATGCGCCCCACAGACTCCGACGGCAATGTCATTCATCCCTGTTTATGATCTTGGCTTGTGTCTGCCGAGCGACAGTCTGCACCGAGTCCACCACGTGACTGACCATCTTATGCATGTCTTCACCAACCTTGGGGCAGCAACCAAGCTTCCCACCGGGGGTGATGCCAGCATTATCGGGGAGAGGTGGAGTGCAAACACTACACAAAACAACTTTAACAATTTCTCCTCGTGTTTTCATGGGTCGTAAAGATGAATCTGCACAGACGAATTTCACAGGAACTGCAAAGTGATGGCGACCCAAGCCGAAGTCTGCAAACCACCTAGGCCTTCTGATTCTGACCGCGGAACGCGCTTCGGCAGCTCCTCCATCGCTGCCATAACTGTGGACATCCTCTGTCAGTGAGGCGGCACTCATGAACTGCGTGATTCGATGTTGACTGGGCGCCGTTTCTGTTCCGAGAGCATGGATGCTAAGTCTCTGGTGAACATGTCTGCCACGGCTATGCCCCGGCCCGTTTGTGTCTTCTCATCGGATCCCTCGGAAGTTGGTATGGAGTCTGCTGTCCGTGTTCTGAGACACCGGAAGTCCTTCAAGCTGAGCAGAACTCGCAGGCTTGCAAAGGAAGGCTGTTTCCAACTTCCCTCGGTGATTCCAACGCAAAATGAAAACCTAACGGCTTTTGGAATTCAGCGCTCACACTCGGACACTCCAGGCGAGGCATGTGGTTCGAGGTCTGACATAGGTGAATCCAACATCCGCTGCAGGTCGACAAAACATCAACACACGTATCCCTAGAACTCTCAACCTGCTAATCAACAGGACCCGCTCAACCCCAAGATCCATTACTCCACGAACCTAGTTATGGACCTCAGGCCCTGCATCGACATGGATCGAGCTTATGAGGGGGCGACATTGAGGGTGCTGACACAACTGTGTGCTGAACTTAGGCAGCGTGTGGAGGGCTTGAGGCTCGCTTGCCCTTAGTAGGGGCTAGGGAAACCTAGACCTAGCCTTCCGGCGACCAGACTTCACAATCAGATCGCTCCTCTTCGTGCTACCCCAGCCATCGAAGACTTGCTGGGCACTTTCTTTCATCTCCTGAAGGGCAGAGTCTGAGGTTGCAGCTGCTTCGTTGCCTTCGCCCTTGCAGTTTTAAAGTAAATCTGGCAGTGAATCGCGAAACCATCGAAACTCAAGCTGTGTAATGACCAAGACCTGCTGCTGCCGGTGTGCTCAACTTAGGACACATAGCCTAACATCACGAGCAATCTGCCACAAACCCTGCTGGTCGACTAATGCCGACACTGTGTCACAAAAACGCATGTAATGCGAACAGTCGTATACAGACTTGACGTGCTCACTTCGAGCCTGTCAGCGGAAAGCTGGCAGCAGTGGTTGCAGTCTACAGACTCCCGCCACTGAGGTGCAAAGCATATACCTCCTCTCAACTCATCCCCGCATGCGCCTTGCTCAAGGCTTGACGCTGGTCTTCATGGTGGAACCGTGCGGGTGAATGATCCCGATCCACGACCTGCAACAGGAAAGTGGCTGACCCGGGAGGGCACTGGGCCTGCATCCTCAAGGTGCTCAGGTGGGGATGCAAAGATTTGCGCTTTGAGAGGCAAGTGCTTGAATTTTCCTTCCTGGAGTGAGGAGCTAGATGAAACGCATGACTCCCCGAACCCTAAACCGTTAACCCTAAATCCGGGTCAGGCCTGCAAATGGCGAGAGCGAATCTCCTCCGGAAGTTTGCGTGTCACTACAGGCGACTAGGCTGGAAAGTGCCTGCCGTAATCCAGGTCTCACCTGAACTTGTTGGGTTTTCGACTCTCGCACTCGCACCAGGCAGGCAAGGCTCCACACAAACTTCTTGGGCTTTAGGGCTTCGGCACTTCTCAGACATGCCGGGCATGTTTCTTGGTGCTTAGCCGGTTGGAGTTGAGACCTAGAGTGTGCAGGGTTGGTTGTTGCCTCCTATTTCGCAAGGACGAGGCCGAACTGCGGTCTGGAGAATTGAAAGTCGGGAAGCGTCTACGGATATGACATGCTGTTTCCGGGGTCTTTTGCCTCCCACCTTGCTAGGACAAGCCCGCATTGAGGGTACAATCCGAATGTTGTGCGGAATGCACTATACAGGTCTGACACATGAAAGCCATATTAGCTTTGACATGGTTTCGCTACCCTGACTTTCCAAAGAGCAGTCAAGGGGTCTTAGGTGTTGGGCTTTGGGGCTTATAAGCCCTGAATCCTCAGGCCCTCGATTCTCCCGGTCCAAGGCTGTTGACATCGACTGGGCTTCGAACCACGACATGTCTCGACTCTCTTCCCCTACAAACCCCAACTGCCAAACCTTATCCCAAGTCTCGATTCAGCCTTCTTCCCATGAAAAGAAAAACTCGCTCCCCATGGAGAATTTGGGTCCCATGGAGTGCTCCCACAGTCCTTCTTGTTCAAATTGTTGGCCGGAGCCGGGGCGGCCTGGACGGCCTCCTTGAATGGAGGAGCACCAGAATTGGCTGGAGGAGGAGGAGGAGGATGTGGGGCACGTGCCAAACATCCCGGGTCGAAGTTCAGATCTCCCCAGCTTCTGCAAACAGTCTTTGGCAATCTAGGCTTCCAGAACCATTTCGCCGCAAACTTAGATAAATCCACCTCGGCTTCTTTGCTCAAGTAGAAAACTATGTACATGCAGCAGATCTGCATGTGACAACACATCTCAGAGCGATATTTCGGCGCTCGCACTCGGACACTCCAGAAAGATTATTGGAGCTTCCGGTAAGGGCCTGCCACTGACACCACTACCACCTACAACCTGCTTGCTTTCCTTGAAGCCGACTTGCTACTGCTATTGCTGATGCTGCTGCTGCT